CATTATACGAAGTTATACGAGAAAGGTGGTCAATCATCTCTGTTAGCCTTCAAATCTGTGAATTTGCAGGGGCAAATTTAGTTGCCTCTGCAGCTAAAACCAGTGGCACAATCAAGAGGCAGAGCTCGCAGATGCAGACTCCCAGGGGGTTGGTCCAGTCGCAGTGTGACCACTACACTCCTCCACACTGGTTCCTAGACCCGTGGATGATGAGGGAACATGAAAAAGATGTGATTTCAGAGTGAAAACCTGTAGTGGGGGAAAGTACAAAATCCGTGGGGCAGAGCCCACCGGCAGCTTGGCACTGAAGAGCTTCGCATGACTGAGGCTGCACTCCCTAAGCAACCACGCTCTTTCTCTGTACTCCCCTTTGCTGCTTTTGCCACCTGCAGCCCGAGGTGATGCGTCCTGACTTTGCTCACGACTCCCAAATTAGAGTAAATATTTTTTTCAGTCTGATTTGCAAACCCTTGTCCTCCCCCCACCTCCGCCTCCCCCTTCAGTCTTTGTCATCATCTTCTCCTGCACCACCAAAATTTTTGACAGTTTGCTCTCCCCCGGGTTCCAGGAAACCATGTGACTAATTAAGCAGTTGGGGCGAGCTCAGGTGCAAGGAAAAACAAGTCAGATGATGGGCTGCTGCCCACTCGCTCCAGCGAGTGCATTCCATCTCAGCGTGTGTCTGCCCTGCTACTTCATAAGGGAAAAGAAAATGCCGGCCTTCCCTGGGCTGGGAGCCTCACAGCACAACCGGATCGGCAAAACTGAGTCTCTGGCTGCGAAAGCAAAAGTGCCAAGGGCCTGGGTGGAGGCGGAACCACCTCTTCCCTCCTGGAAGAATTTGGCCTGTGCACTTTGTCACATATTTGAGTGGCTCCGTTCCTTCCGGCTTTTAAGCAGTTTTGGGCGTGTACGTCAGAGGGTTCGTGAGGAGTCTGCAGCCCACCGCCCAAGTTGCCAGAGGTGGCACTCAGCAAAGCAGTGGAAGGGCTAATGGGTAGGGACATCTTCAAAAAGACATTCATGAGAGACAGCGACTCTGGGCTCACATCTCAACGCAGCAGGAGCTTGGAGCTCCCACTTCGCACAGGTCCTGCTAGTGAAGGGACCTGGTGGCATTGCTTGCCCCTTGGAGAAGGAGTGTCTCTCGGCTTTTGCTGAGCTCAGAACTTGGTGGGAGCTGGGAAGCCCTACATGGTAGTATCTCATCCCTTGGAGCAGGGACTTCCCAGCTGTCGCTATGCTTCTAGTGGCAAATTTAACCAGAGATTTTTGAAAGACTGCTGTTCCCTGCATTAGTACACTCTGCGTATCTATACTGGATTTCACGTGTCTACTTTTATCCATGTATCAGGAGGAAGGATTGCCGCATCTCCCCACAGTAAACCTCAAAGGCTAGTAAAGGCAGCTAGCAGCAGAGAAAGGGGCTCACCCTTGACGCTCTACAGGAGGATTTCACCATAGTCATGCGAGTGGGATGTTCCTACCTGTCTCCACGCTCTCAGCAATTGCAGACATGCAGTTACTCCACATGTCAGACAAAAAAGAAGAGTTTCCCAACTGCAGATTTGATGCTCAATTACAGAATGGAGCATGACAGCTACTACTACCATGTATTAATAACTCTGCTTCACTTTATGGCTTTAACAGCTGTAGCAACCAAGATTTATAATGACACATTACGTTCAGCAATGCATCACGTAAGGAAACTAATCTGACAGT